TGCAATGATTTAGGGTTTATATTATAAATGTCCACGCCACAGCATGATATTTGTTGAGCTATGAAGGTTATGCTTTAAAAACTCGTAACTCTAGTTCGCACGAAACATAAACACTTTTCCTTCCTCGGAGTAGCGGGTGCTGATGGCGGGCATGTTTTTGACCAATCGTGATGTTTGTTTTAGAAAACTAATGCATTCAGGGCAAGTAAAACTAAATGACCGAGTCAAAAGGTACTTATGAAATTGGTGTATATTTATATTTTGTATGGAGAAAATAGCGCTTCTGATTGGGCTAAGAAAATATTGTAATAATCTTTTATTAAGATTTGTTTCTGTGGTCCTTCCCCAAACGTGATAACAATAAGCTACTTGGGATTTAAATAATTCATGACATATTTTGTGGTTTTTTGGGGGGCGAGAATAGCTCTGCAACAAATAAGTACACCAACAATTCTGCATAATTTATTGACAACCTGGTTTATGTGTTTAACCTATTCTAAATTTTCTGAAGACATAAATGATAATGTTTTATGTTCTTTTTCCACTAATTTGATCGGTGTGAATTAAAAATGGAGGGTTTCATTTATATTTACGTGTTTACAAAACGAACTAAAAAAACAAAACAAAAAAACTTCATTTGTTTTTGTTTCATTCCCACCGTGTAATCAACCGTTTCCGCTGAAAACATTGCCCTGGAGTTCGCATCCGCCACAGATTCGCGGGTAATTTGATCCTATGTTTGTCTCGTGAACTGTTGACCATAGTCCGTTTCACGATAATTTGGGCGAACTGCGGAGGCTGCGGCCCCCGCGACCCAATAAGAGCGTCGAAGCAAGTCACCTCGTATCACTCAATGGTCGACGCCACGGAGGCCTACCCTACCGACAAGTAGAGCGCCGTCCGCGACAAAAAGTAGTGATTAATTTCTCCTTTAACGACAATTATACTCGACTAATTCCATCTCTATTGAGAATATATTAAAAATAAGAAATAAATATTGAGGAATATATGGATTTCAATTATATTTCAACTGCAAATGTAACTCAACACCCGTATCCGCTCCCGATTTTTTTTTTTCCTTGTAGAGTCGGGGCCGTTGGCGATCGCAGTCGTGTCATCAACTGCTTATACTCAAAACATTGCCCGGGCATTAGCAAACGCCAAAGATTCGCGGGTAAATTGCACCTCCGGTTGCCTCATGAACTATTCCCGAAGAGCTTCTTACTCTAACAGACGGCAATGCTACGGTAGTGGACGTTCATCAGAAGTTAATTGGTTTCGAAGCAGACGACTCTTGGCCAGCAGATGACAGCCGGTTTTTTGGCGCAGTGACACACGCGGGTCCGTTACGCGTTGTCACTTGCCTCGCTTCGACGTTCTTCTTGGGTCGCTGAAACCGTAGCCTCCGCCGTTCGCCAAGTAATCGTGAAACGGAGTATAGAACAATTCAGTTTTTTTTTTTGTGAGTGGTGGTGGCGTGTAAAAATACTAATGCATCTTCGAAATATTACTGTACCAAAGCTTTATAACTCGTCGGATTATACTGGTTCTATTACTTTTAGAAGCTTTAGTTATCCATACATTTTTCATTTTGATTGTATCCAATTATCTTCAACCGCGTTAATTCTACAGGTAACGAGTAAAAAACGTTTCTTTTAATTTAATGTCAAAACATATTTTGTTCTATTTTTTGTTTGTAAAAAAAATCTGCGACATTTCGACCAAACCGAGTGTGGAACGTCTACTGGAGACTGGATAACTCTTAGTCAAGAGCTTTGACCCGCCACTTTCACGACGATTGATAGCGCTCTCCACCACCCGCAGTTCAATGGGGCAAATCCCATATTTTGCGGCGCGTAGCCGTTTACACTTTACGAAACCTTAAAGGGCCAACGCTATTGTACTTCCCCGGAGTGAGATGCATTCCACATAGTAAAGTATTTGGTGTACAGATCGGAGTAAGCGCACACACACCCCTCCGCTCTAGTTTTATCAGCCTCGAGGTAGCACTGCATGTATCGAAGGCCACGCGCTCCGGCGTTTCCACTCATATTGTCCGCAATAGTATGTCATTTCGCTGACAATGCACGAGCGATAGAGCATGGCTTATTATAACGGCGCTCGTCGCTTCTAAATTGGCTTATAATGGGCGGTGTGGACTGAAATAGTACAAACAGGCAGGATCCACAAAGAAAGCTTATAAGCCAACGTAGTTTTGATTGACTATTTATGATTAGATGCTTGGAAATAGCCAAGCAATTAAAAAAAAAAAAAAGAAAACACACTACTTTATTAAATAAAGGTAAATAAAGGCATTGTAACAGGCGGAAACAAAGCATAGTTGCACAGCGTATTCAGCCAATTCTGTCTCCATTTGATGACAGGCTTCAGAAGTGAATCAAGTGTGTTTGGATACCTGTCGAGTAATATGTTAGCTATCAAGCTGCGTAATACCACAAGGAATGGAGGGCGGAGAAAATCAGGTAACCTCTATGGCCAAATACCAAAACATTACATTTTCTCAGCAGGGCATGCAAAATGCCAGCATATTGCAAAATATTGCTTTTTTTTATTTTTGGCTGGATAAAATTACTGTGCTGAATTATGTCCTTTTGACAGATCGATGCTATTTACAACTTAAGGGATGGATCAAAATGTATTTTAATATAATAATAATAATATTACTAATAATAATAATAATAATAATGATAATGATAATGATTATTCCACTTTCATGTTTTTTTTTATATTTTCGGGCCAGTCAAAGCCAAAGTAGGCTTGTGGGAGATGGCCCGGAACAGGTAGTAAGCGATTATATACATCTAGTTAACAAACACCGATAAACAGTCATAGTTGTCCGGTGTAGGGGAGGGGAGGCGGCGGGTAGTCAGTCACTTTGTACATGGCACGGATAGAGATAGTAAATCACAGTAGACCGGTAGAAACATTATAGACACATGTACAGGTACATGTAGAGATAATTAATAATAATAATAATATTTATAATAATAGCTTTATTATCTTTGAAAAAATGCATGTGTAAGCGCGCTGGTACACGAAAGCAAAGATGCTTGTATGTGGGACCAGGAAGCCAACAAAATACCGTAAGACATTGAACACTGGAGAAACAAAACAAACAAACAACAATAAAGTAGGAATGTGGGCAACGAATACGCACTAAGTATTTATATAATTAGTATTGCGCGAGCGTGAGGCACCATTCTCTTACATTCCGTTTTACCGCACGAAAGGATGATAAGTTCAGTAAAGACACTTGCAAACTCTTGGACATCGATGGGACATAGTGTCGTTTTAACTTTTTTCCATAATTTGTTTATATCTTAGGGCCCTTGAACCTATCTGCACGCCGTAATTTTCTTTTTTTTACGTCTTGTTTAAAAGTTGTACTATAGTAATTACGTGTTATTATCACATATTTATGAAACTGACTAAATGACAATATTTCTAACGCGCGCATTTTTCTTCAAGGTCTAGTTTATCGTACACTGATCCGTAAGAAATATTGTTTACACTATATTTTATAATTCTATCAATTCCCTATTTTTTTGCAATTGAAACAATTTCCATATATCGTAATTCCATGTCGGATAACTGATTCTCCTAAAGATCTGAAAATAGTTTTCCACAAGTTTACAGAACATGAGGTGCTTAGATTGTAAAGATACACCGATACCACCCGCATTCTCTTAATAATATATTCGATCTGTTGGTTCCAAAGGAGATGTTGGTCAAATATTAACCCTATATATTTAACCGAGGAGTCATAAGGTGATGGTCTACACGTTCAAATGTTTTGAGCATGATCATGGAGGTGAATATATATGTTTGGTACTGGAGTAATTTGTTTATGGGGATTACGAAAACAGACTAATTTAGTTTGATTGACGTTTACAGAAATGAGATTACTTGAGAACCAGTTAACTAATATATATATATATATATATCGCTTTGAAGCAGCAGAACTTCCTGGTTATAGTTGTCATGCGGTAGTAATAGAACAGTATCATTCGCGTTCTCTAACATTGTAGATCGTAGTTGTAATAACCATCGGTCATTCGCATACATATTAAACAAAAACGGACCTACTGTGCTACCCTGTGGCACGCCGCAATCGACTCTGAGTTTTGTACTAGTGCTGCTTCTAATTTTAACCATCTGAAACCTGTTTGTAAAGTAATCAGTGAAGAATTTCTGAAATGGACCCCTGAAACCATGCTTATTGAGCTTTGATAGGAGGAGTGCGTGATCAATGGTACCAAATGCTTTGGACAAGTCCGAAAACAAGGCAAGGGCTACTTTATTATTTTCGAGCGTTTCATTAACAGAGTCCGAGAAAACTTCAAGTAATGAAATAGTGTTCCTTTGTTGCCTGAAACCGTACTGCCCGTCGTTCAATAACGAAAATCTCTCACACAAGCCACTCATACATATTTATACCCATTTTTCGAGAATGCGAGCAATTGTTGGTAATATTGATACCAGTCTATAGTTTCCTAATTCGTTCTTACTACCCTTTTTGTTTAGCGGTCTCACTATTGACAATTGTAGTCCTTCCGGTATTTTTGCTGTTGTCAGGCATCCGTTAACTATCGCGAGGAGGACCAGTTTTAGACTTGAAAAATTGTAGCGCAAATCCCTAATACGAGTTTTTTCTATTCCAGGCACTTACGTTATTGACATTGAATAAATCATGTTCATGAGATCGTACTCATTTATTTCTGGTAGATGTGTTGAATTTACGCAGTCAATTCGGTCAGCCGGTTCCTCATTTACATGCACCGCTATCTTTTGCCTCAGGGCTTGTACGGTACTAATGAAACTGTTATTGAAAGTTTCGGCTAGTTCAATGTAGTTATCTAATGCTGGAAAATTCTTCCTAAGCCATTTTAAGCATAACAAAAGTTAAGATCCTTCTCTTTATGGACTTGCAACGCACAGGTTATCTAATGTATGTGTAAAGAAAAAATTGGGAAGCTTACTTCTTGAAAGGAGACCTCGTGTCTTGTTAAAATTTTTGTTTGGGGTGCACCCTCTTTAGACTCCTCTGTTACCTTAGACCAAGTCTCTCCATAGATTCCACTTTCAGCATACTAAAACAAAAATAAAAATTCAAAATAAAGTTGGGTCATATTATCAAGGATGCATCATTCGTTTTATAAACAACAACCCTAGCAAAAATAACGGTTTGAAATCAGTCCGGAAAGTGAAATCCGGACTAAGATCAAACCGGAGTCACACCGGAGAGGTGGCTTCCGGTTCGCACAAACCGTGAATTTTCATATCCGGTTCAAAGTCAAATTGGAGGAATTCCGGAGAGGCGAATTCCGGTTCGCTCATACCGTGATTTTCCTAATCCGGTTCAAAGTCAAAGTGGAGGAATTCCGGACACGCAAATTCCGGTTCGCTCTAACCGTGAATTTCCTAATCCGGTTCAAAGTCAAATTGGAGGAATTCCGGACAGACAGATTCCAGTTCGCACAAACCGTGATTTTCCCAATCCGCTTCAAAGTCAAACTGAAGGAATTCCAGACAGTCAAATTCCGGTTCACACAAACCGTGATTTTCCTAAATGGTTCGATCAAACCGTGATTTTTGGAGTCCGGTTCAAAGTACAATTGAAGGAATTCCAGACACACAATATGCGGTTCGAACAAACCATTTTTTGTCAAATTCGGTTAAAAGGCAAATTGGACAAAGTCTAGACTGAAAATATCCGCTTTGCACAAACCATACTTTGCCATATCTTGTTCCAAAGAAAATCGGATCAGCCACCTGATGCCGAAGACTTTCAAGCGTATATGGTTGAAATATCAAGGTGCAAACAATCCATCCCGATACCGTACGTACGGGCTGCTGCGTCGATCAAAGCTCAGACCGCAGAAGACAGCCAGCTAATATGCGGCGCCAAAAAGGCGACATCACGGCGATTTTTGTGCAAGTCATTGCCATCTGATTCCATCTAGAATTTTTATGCACTCTGCAATACTTATTCATTATTATGCTTAAACAACGTTTTGGTATTTTTTAGTTATTTTTTAAATAATTGCTTGATAACTGTCAAATAATTTTTTTATAGAATTTTCTCCACATAAAAACAAACAAAAACAAGAACTAATTCGATGCCACAGCTAGATGTACACACAATCGGGAAGTGTCATTTCAGTATCTTTGACAGCTTTTCTGCGGTCTCCTTGTTTATGCCTGCATGCTGAGCATTCTATTATGGTGCACATGCAGGCAATTTTACGGGCTTTTATCAATTTAGCTACGCAAAGCAGGGATTTAAACCGTAACCGAAACCGAAAACCATTTAGGAACGAAAATTTTCAGTAACCGTAACAGAAACAAAATTGTTATTTGAAATTAAAAAAAAACACGTAACCGTAAGCGTAACCGTAAAGTATTTACCGGTAACTGGTTTTAACCAATATTAGCCGAAAAATAAAAAATAAAAAAAAAATTCTCACGTATGACTTGGAGGACGGATCTTGAAATATTGTGGCAATTTGACAGAGTTACTTTCAGCGAGTGGTGCATCTGGTAATACGATTTCCGTTCAATCTAACTTTAGGATTAAGGATACTTGGTTGGAATCATTAGTCGTGCTTATAATAAAAAAAGTCTATTTCTAAATCTATGACGCTCCTACATCGCTACATGTGTCAGTACGTGTCGCCTTCAGTGTAATAACTAATAAGTTAGAATTCTCAGATGTCCATCCAATTCGGTTCTATCAAAACCACCAATGTTCCTGACATGCAGTAGCCAATATGAAGAAACGAGGTAAATTGACTGTCATGCAGAGCTGGCGGAAAAGAAAACATGGTATTCATTTAGTCTGAAACGTCGCTAGTAACGATTTTGAGACAACACAGAAAGAAAAAAACAATGTGACCGGTTTGACATTGGCGTTAAGTGTATGTTTCATATTAACGGTGATCCAGAATTTATCTGAACAAAAACAATCACAAAAATTAAAAATTATTTTGTGAAGTGAAAGCTAATATATCCTTTGATGGCCAGTATTTACATGGAAGTTCAGTGACTGGCCGGCATCGGCGCTTTGGTGTTCAAGCTGGCGAGCCCCGTCATGGAAGATCCGTTTACTGACCGGCATCGTTTTTTGTTTTTTTTTCGTCCTTTTCACTATTAAGTCAAGTCATTGAGATTCTGACAAACTGTGGCAATTCATGGATAGCGAGTGGAAATGTTTGCGTTGATCAATCCTTCCTAAATGACTGCCGACGCTAGGGTATTTTATCCCAGCATGGCAAGGCTGACGTGTTTTATCGCGAAAACGCAAGAAAAAAAAATACGGTGAAGAACATTAGCTGCAGAGGATTTGAGAATGTGACCGCCTACGCCACGAAAAATAAATTTTACAACGCTGAACATCACTTTTTTCAGGAAGCTAGTTTAATTTGATGTACTATACTTAGGGTCCGGTGGTATACGCAGGCGTTTGGCCCTGATAAAAACTAAAAACGGTATAACGGAGCCTAAAAATGAAGAAAAAAAAAACGTGGCATGATTGAGCACGCGCTTTGAGTTACAAAACAATAATAAACATTACTTTCCAGAGACTAGAAAAGTAAGAGATGTGTTTATTGCTTATGACGCTACGAAATTGAGTGCGAAAATATGCTATTTCAGACAGGAATCAACTCCTTTCTGTGGTAGTTACGATTATCTAACAGAAATATTTCGAACGTTCCCATAGCCAAACGATATCTGTTGCTTTGATAAATTATGTTATACGACATACCGCTCCAGAGGATCGCGAATATAAAAACTTATTTCTTTAACGCAAAAAAGCGAGAAACACCACTGCATTGTGGATGTTCACACTGCCGGGTTTGTGAATGTGACCCCTTGACGCCACGAAAAATAATTGTTACAACGTTGAACGATGCCGTTTCTGAAAGATAGTTTAATTATCCGTGCTGCACTTGAACCTCAGGAATAAAAACGTGTCTAGGCCTAATAAAAAAGTAAAACTGCGGAGCGCAACCTGTATGAATAAAACCTGGCGGCATGCGGGGGATAGCACTGATCTACGAGAACAAATTAAAAACTACTTTCCGGAAGTCAGAATACTAAGAGATGTGCTTAATTAATACGTAGCGCGCTATGAGCTCACCTAAATTACTGCCTTAAAATGACGGCATTTTTGATTCGACAGTGGGTGAAGATGGCCGCTTTCAGACAAACTTCAGCTGCATTACTGTGGCAGTTTTACCACTATCACATTTTCCCATTTTGCTCGCAATATGCTCATTATTATTACATTTCTTTCTTCTTTGAAAGGGCTTGTACTGTTTGCCTACGGTTATGAATTATCCCGGCAAAACAAGAGGGCCACGGTTTGTGCTTTGCAACAATTCAAACTTAGGCTTGCACTTTTTGTTTTCACCTTGTCCGTGATTATTACCCTAAAGAACGGTGCCGACGACTGCAAAAATATAGAAAATATTTAAAATAATAAAATCTAATACAGAAAGGTGAGAAAAAAATATTAAAAAATATAAAAACTAATACAAGAAGGTGAGAAACAATAATTTAAATAATAAAAACTAATGCAAAAAGGCGAGAAAAAAAATATTAGAAATAATAAAAACTAGCACAAGTAGGCGAGAAAAAAAAATATTTAAAGTAATAAAAACTAATACAAAAGGTAAAAAAAGATTTAAAATAATAAAAACCAATACAAAAAAAAACATAAGAAAAGAGTGTTCTCCGGGATTCGAACCAACGTCCGTGCGCTCTGCAAGATAGCGCGTTAGCAAACGAGGCTAAAGTTGCCCGGTTAACCAAGGGTGTTTTCTGGAAAGATACATGTCTACTGAAGTCGTTTCGAACCGTTGTACTTACTTTTGTATTTAATATTTTCTACATATACAGGACTTATTCATAATATTATGGCAATAATGACGTCTGCAATAATTTATTATTGCTGTGTCTTATATGAGTTTTATAATGCGGTTTGCTTATCCTTTTATTTGAAACGTTTTGAAGATACGAAAACAATCTCATCGCATCAACAGCCTATGTTTCGCACGGTTTGCCGGCCGTATCGGCCGTGTGCGTTTGAATGCCTGCGTTCGCGACCGGATAACGTTTAAATTTCCCGATTAGTCGTGATGCGTGGAGTTTGCCTTAGTTTCAAACGTGTCCGAAAAAGACGGAAGCGACTGTGAGAAGTGGAACTTCGTCAAATCGGCTCAACAGCGAAGATCATGGTACGGGAACCGAAGTAAGTTTGTTTCTTTGTTCGTTAGGGCTAGCTTATTTCCTGCGTTCAGAAAGCTTGTTATTGTCTGTAGATCGCTTGCTTTTACCAGTATTATTAATTGTGCGTGAATGGTGTTATGCAAGGCTGTTTTTCTTCTTTTTTCCCCGATGCAGAGACTACTCGCTCAAGGTTCATCAGTAGCGGCGGGACTCTTTGGGAGACGGGGGGTGCGGGGGTGGGGGTCAAAGCGGATGGGGGAGGATTGCCTCCCTACGACGCCATTGCATGCGGAGAGCTGGACCCGACAAAAAGCTCTCTGTGTAAGTCCTTTGTGTTTTTACTCTTTTTTTTATTTGTGTGTTCGTTGTTTCACTTTTTCTTATGATTTAGTCCGGGTTTCTGTTACTTATGTGTTCATTATTTATTAATTTTTTTCTTTATTAAGTTTTAGTTAAAAATATGATGCCCTCGTCATTTTCCAGTCCGGGAAACGGTGGTGACCTCGTCGTGTTCAAGGAGCAGTAATGAACTTTTCATCTTGTATTGCTTCCGGCGAACAATGGTGTCTGTGCGTGTGTGTGTGTGCGACGTGTTGGTCACAAGGGATGATTTCGGGACTGAACGGAAAAACAAGGCCAGCGAGGAGCGACTGGGGGACTTTGAACATCGCACGGTGCAAGGAAGGACTTCAACGACGAGGCTAGCAAGCAAGCCCATGTCAAAACTGCTGTGCTCGACCGGAGAGTTGAATCAGAACTTTACCCTGTGAGTAAGGATCAACGACTTTGGAACTTTCGTATAGTTTACAGCTTAATTGTCGCCTTCCTTTTGTTTTATTTTAATAGGAGTCTGTGTGCT